GGACTCTGCGGGAGAGCTGGTGTTAAGTCCTGACACTCCGCTTCGTGCAGAATCAGAGCCAGAACTACTGGCCTTGGAAGAGAGAGGAGCCCAGAGACCCGAGCCAAGAAACGGGGGCACTGCCCGGACCCTGGGAGGCCCACAGAACAGTGGCTGCCCCTGCACCCCAGGCCTGCCCAGGCCTCTCAGAGGGAGCCACACACACTGCAACCAGCTGCACTGCTGCCTCGTTGGTGTTCACAGGACAGGCCATAGCAGCTGCTCTCCCTTCATTGTTTTTTTTTTTTTTTAGTGTTTCTTAGAGACGGGGTCTCACTATGTTGCCCAGACTGGCCTCAAACCCCTGGGCTCGAGCAAACCTCCCACCTCACCCTCTTGAGTACCTAGAATTCCAGTTTCCTTGCTTTTTCCGAGGCATCCAGAAGCTGGAAGGGTCCTTCACGAGCCCCCACACAGCTCTGGAGACCCCAGGAGTGAGTTCTGGCCAGGCCTCGAGCTCTGGGTTTCAGGGTAGAGAAGGTACTGGTTTCTGCCTTTGCAGAAAAAGAGCCTGGTGCTCGCTCAACCAGAAGAAGGCTAAGCAGGGTTGTTGTTGAAGGAACTGTGTACGTTCCGAAAGGAAGGCATCACGACCCAGGAATTTGATTCATTCTCCTTGGAAGACAGTGGTGAGAAAATGAACAGCACCATTTTCCAGCGCTACAAGATTAATTACGTTTTTAGAGCAAAATTCCTCAACGAAAGGCCATTATTAAGTTTGTCTCTGGGGGTGTTAAGGAACATGCTGGGGAGACGATGCTGACGCACTGCCCGCCTGGCCCTGGAGGTGCTGCTCCCCCCGTGGACAGCTGCAGCGTCCACGGCTCTGGCCGGCCTAGGAGGAGGGGAGGGCGGAGCAGCTGGTCAGTGTGATTCTCCTAAAGGCCACACGGAGTCATGGGTGCAGCCCCTGAGGGTACAGGAGGGGTCACAAGAAACAAGCCGCTGCAGAAGCCCTCGGCCTGGAGCACTGATTCCCCAGGACAGCAGAGGGTCTTGGCCACCACAGACCGGGTGAACACATCCGAAGACGCAGCCTGCTCTGCTGACCCCTCAGCCTTGGGGCAGCAGCTGGCAGCTGTCGCCTGCAGAAACACTCTGTCTGCTCCGAGCTGCTCTGCCAGACTGGAAGCTTCTGGGATTCAGTCGGCCACAGAGCTCTGAGAAGATTTCCCTGGCTTGTATGCTGTTTGAAAAGTTGTGGCCATTGCTCTGAAAAATAACTGGAAAAAACATTCATTCCGATCTTTTATTGCTTTAGTCTAGACAGGAAAATAGGTTCTCTACACTTACAGAGAGTTCCGTTGAGTGCCAGCGAGGGCCCTTTCTAAGCTCAGCCCTGACTCCCTGCAGGGCAGGAGCCGGGCAGCCCTGCCTCCTGGTGGACTTGGATCTCGTGGGAAGCTCTGTATGGTCTGTTTTGGGGACTGGCAGATTCTAAAACAGGACATTTCACATAACGGAGCCTGAGAGAAGACTGTGAGCAACTCAGGGAAAGATGTGAAATGACGCGATCCCACGAGCACAGCTGTAGGCTTTCTGCTAGTGCGTGCTCACCACATCCGCTGTCGCCAAACACACACTTTAATATTTAAAGTCAAAATCTACAAGGTGACAACAATAGTGTCGTCCCTCGGTACACCTGGGGGACTCCAGGACCCCAAGGGCACGGGCCCACGCCGTTCAGTCCTGCTAGGAAAGGCGCAACATCTGCATCCCCCACACACGTCCCCCACCATGCTTCAATCACCGCTAGATTCCTTATAATGCCAAATACAGCGCAAATGCTGTGTGAACAGTTGTTAGGCTCTATTATTTTTATTACTTTTTGTTTTGTTTTCGAATATTTTCAATCTGTGGTTGGTTGAACCATGGATGGAGAGAGACAATAAAAATCAGCTTTTAAAAAATAAACTTCAATGACAGCTAATACATGTCACCCCTCCCTGCAGTGCCAGCTGTAATACAAATCTGTTTTTAAAAATTAGAGGACAGTAGCAGCTAATACATCTCACCCCCGCTCCCTGCTGTGCCCTGCAGAGTGCCAGCGTCCTTTCCTGGAGTGTCCTGTGAAACCCTGACCTTGGCCTCCACATGGGTGAGGCCCGAGCAGCTGTCAGCTTGCACCCTTTGTGCATCCTGTCTGGGCCGCCTGTCATGCCATCCCTGGGTTCCAGGCTTCCCGGTACCCTCTTAGCAGTGGCTGTCCCCATCCCCTGGTCTTGTGAGGAAGGTTCTCATATAAGGCAGCTGTCCCCTCATAGCCCCTTCACCTGGCAGCTGAGCCTCGCAGGGAGCTGCCTCAATGCCTCACTCAGCCGTGGAGAGCCCAGGACCCCAGAATAATCAAGGGGAGTGGGTCTTAGCCGGGCGGTCATGAGCAGGCATCTTACAGGACCACCCTGTCATTCATGGTGGAGAGTGTTGTGGAGCCAGGCAGTAGCAAGCTTCTTCACCAGTGAGGCCACATCTCACCAGGGCTTGTCACAGCGGCAAGTTCAAAGTCAGATCTAGCCCACCCACCCTCTCTAAAAAAGTGAAGACGCAGCCATCGCCGGCATCCTTGTGTTGCACAGAGCAGTTCCCGAGCCAGCATCTGCTGGGGAAGAGACAGAGAGTTTAGGGAGAGTTCCCACAGAGTCTGGACCAATTTTATGCTTCTGAGACTTGCCTGTGAATCCACACAGCTATTCCAGAGCTGTGTACTCCGAGAGCTGGGAGGCTTTGGTTCTGTGCCAGTGCAAGTGGCACAGGCCACGGCTGAGCACCGAAGTCCAGGTGTGCTTCAGCCCAAGGCTCCAAGACGTCCCCACTGCCTCCTGGGCGCGAGGCTCAAGCACAGGGACTGCCTGCCAGGCCCACGTGTGCATGGGCGAGGCCCGCAGGGAACATTGCATGGGCAAGGCCGGCGAAGGAAGATTGCTTCCTTCGATTGAAGGATGTAAAGTTGCCTTGTGAGGTGAGACATGTCAGCTCCCAGAAGAGCTCCCAGCATCTCATGATTCACGCCAGCACGGGCAGTGCAGCGGCAGAGCATGATATCTTGGATGGCAGCTAAGCTCTCGATTCCACACGGCTCCATCCTGGAGACGCTCACTCACTGCAGCATGCTCTCCTCGTGGGGCCTCCTCAGGACTCGCGGACTCGGGGCTTCCCTGACCTCTGCACTCATGGCGGGGTGCACAGCTGGGTGGACACCAGCCGCCATACGTGGAGCTGAAATAGAGCCCGTCTTGGGCTCACGGAGCGGAGGCCGTAGGTGGAGGTGAGCCAGTGGTCGCAGGCATCTGGAACCCATGCACCCCATTGCCTTTTGCACCATGCCTCCATCTCTGTGGACTTGACCTTGTCATTCCACATGTGCAGCTGTGTTCATGTAGTGACACAGGGTCCTCGGCTGGCTTCCGATGCTTAAGCTCACAAACAGTCAGGGGGCTCACAAAGCAGTCCAAATCCTTTAAACCTCTGTGAACAAGGACTTGCTTCTCAGCAAATTGTCTGGCTTCCCCCAAAATAAGAAAATGGGGTTCTATGTGGATGGTTACCCCTTCAACTCCCAGTGCCAAGGGCAGGGCCCTGTCTGCCTCCGCCTCCTGGGCGAAGCCTGGCAGGTAACTGGTGCTCCTGGCGCCCGCACACAGGGGAGGCGCCACCTGGCCCCGCTCTGCCCTCCATGCTCAGCGCCTCTCATCAGCCCAGCCTTTGCCGGACCTGCTGACCCCACCAGGATTGCTTCTTCCCCTCTCAGCCTCTCTGGGTACTGCGACCCCTGCTCCGTCAGCCTCTTCCCTGGCCTCAGCCAATGCTGAGTACACTGGGCACCCACCTGGCCCAGTACCTGCCCCTCCCTTGTTTCTAAGCACTCATGGCCCCCACCCCACAATCTCTGATTTGCTTCTGCAGGCTTCCATCAAGTGTCCCCTGAGGCTCCATGTCCCTGTCACCTCCACGTTCTATTTCTCAGTGTCTTAGATCTTGTGTGTGCTACCCACCCTCACTCCACCCCTCTCTTGCCCAGAGAATGATCCTCCTTCCCCTCCTTTGTGCCTCTTCCACATGCCCAGCCTTCCTGGCCTTCACCTCCCAGCCCTTTGCAGACAGGAGTCACTCTGGCGCCTTCCTGCATCTCGCCGCACAGCGTCGTGGATGTGACGTGGCTCAAAGGTCTGACAGGTGTGCGTTCACATCCTTCATCCTCTGGGCCTCACCTTCTTCGGCGACACCTGCCTGCAGGATTGCTGAGGAATTAGATAGGACCAAGCAGCCGCACCCAGGGAGCCTCAGCCCTTCCCCCCAGGCCCACGACTCACCATTGTTATTTACCAATGAGTCCGGGTCCCTGCTGGGTCCTGCCTTGTCTTTCTTTGTATCCGAGTTTGCAGCATAGGACCTTGCATCAAGTATTGGGTGAGTTGGGGGAAGCTTAGGGACATCAAGAGGTACATCAACCTTTTGTGAAGTCCCAGCACCTCAGAGCAGGGCCAGCACGTGGAGGTGGGGGGAAGAACTCTCTGGGTCACAGTGCACAGCAGCATGTGCTGAACTTGTGGCGGTGCAGACTCCATGTCACATGCACCACTACCCGTGGACCACAGAGGCTTCCAGAAATCAAGGGCGTGAGAGCAGATGCTCCTCCCTGATCAGACACTGCTCGGGGGGTGCAGTCATGCCCTCCGATCAGCTGAGGCATTTCAAGGAAAGTTACACCCTTTCCAGCCCAGTTTTCCTTTTAGAAGGATTCAGCCTCAGAAGATGAATTCGTGTGATCAAGCCTGTGATCAGCCAGGATTCTTGAATCTTGGGACTCGTTGCCAGAATAACAAAATGGCGGCTTCCTGTAACCTCCACTCTTTAAAGCAACAATTCCGATACCAGCGTTAGGTTTTCAGGAAACGAAGCCACCTTAGTCGCCCCGTTGGCAGCTGTTTTCTACTAAAACGTCTCCCATTTCTCTCTTCTAGGCGTTTCCTTTAACAGTGTTTACACTCAGATCTGGAGAGTGCTGCTGCACCTGGCTGCTGACCCCTATCCGGAGGTCTCGGACCTGGCCATGAAGGTGCTCAACAGCATCGCTTACAAGGTACGTGCCGGGCGCTCTCACCGCCGCGCTCAAGCTTCCGGCGCTCTGTTACCGGTATGCACGCAAGGAACCCTGGGCGGACCCAGGTCCACACCACGGGTTAGAAAATAAACAAATGAGCATCAGCAAACATCTTGAACCTGGAGATGTATAGCACATGCCAAACTGTCTGTGCAGCTCCCGTGTGGGCAGGGTGCTGGAGTTACTGTCCTTGTCGGGGGAATCAGGTGGGATTGCCATTATTTTTCAGGAGCCTCCTTTGTCTGGGTGAGCTACAGTGCTGGCCCTTCTTCCATTTCCTTTCTTTTTTTACTTATTTATTTATAAGAGACAGGGTCTCCCTTTGTTGCCCAGGCTGGTCTTAAACTCCTGGGCTCAAAGGATCCTCCTGCCTCGGCCTTCCAAAGTGCTAGGATTACAAGCGTGAGCCACCGTGCCTGTTTTTCATTTTTTTTAAGACAGAATGTCACTCTGTCCAGACTAGAATCCAATGACCTGATCACAGCTCACTGTGGCCTCCAACTCCTGGGCTCAAGCAGTCCTCCCACCTCAGCCTCCCAAGTAGCTGGAAATACAGGTACACACCACTACACCCAGCTAATTTTTAAATTTTTTATAGAGACAGGGTCTCAATATGTTCCCCAAGCTGGTCTCTAACACATCAGTTCGAGTGATCCTCCCACCTTGGCCTCCTGAAGTGCTGGGATTCCAGGCGTGAGCCACCATGCCCAGACTTTCCTTCCGTGTCTGATAGCAGTAATTCCAAGGTTTCTTATTCGTGACCATTCTAGCTAAAGGGAACTTTTCAAAGAACCAGGCTTTGGCTTCATTGGTTTTTCTCTGTTGTCTGTTTTCCATTTTATCGATTGATGCTTTCGTTGTAAAACTTGCTTGCTTCTGCTTACTTTAATTTGCTCTTCTTATCCTAGCTTCTTAAGGTAGAAGCAGAGGTCATTGATTTCAGTCCTTTCTCTTTGGGGACTGTAACCTCTTCTCAGTCCTTTGTAGCTCTGAGCATTTGGCCTACTGCCTTCCTGCTGTTTTTTCTCTGCCTCATGGGTTGTCATTCTACCCATGAGCAGGTAAATACTTAGTCGAAGACTCCAGGGCCCCCTGCAGACCTTGGAAGCTTTCCCCTCCCCAGTACTCTGCCCTGCAGGTCCTCAGCACCACAGCCTCCCCGGAGCCCTGGTCTCTGTCTCCTGTTCGCTGAAAGTGCTGGGCTCCTCTTTACACTGCAGACTGGGACTGTCTGAAACCACGTGCAAGCTGTTTTCTGGGCCTGTTGTTTATTTCCCTTCTCTTGGGGATCCCAAGCCCATGACACCGAGCACCCAGTGTCTGAAAACAAGTGTTTGCGGTGTTTTTTCTGGTGTTCTAGTTCCTTACGGATGTTGGATGAGATGATATGCGTGGAATTAAACGTCGCTCATTATAGCACTTAGATTTTTTGTAACTTTTTGATAAAATTTCGAAAGCCTACAGAGAAGTTGCAGGAAGAGCGCAGGGAAAGGTCGCCCTGGCTGTTCCTGCAGCCTTCTCTGTCTTCGTCGGACCCCGCCCCGGTGGCGGAGTTGTCTTGGGTCTCATACACTGCCCGGGGCTGCAGGGCCGAGGAACCACAGCTCTCCATCTTGGTCCGTCACTTCTTCCAAATGAACTGTCAAGCCCCTCCTCTCATTTGCTGTGGCCTCCTGGGTCCCCGCCGGCATGGAGCCAGGGTTTCTGCAGCTCCTCATCTCATGCTAATACTACACTTGCGCGGCTTTTGGGTCCTTCAACTAAGTTATTTCCTGCTGGTCTAGTTATGTCTTACTCCCGACAGATCGAAATCACCTTACTGTCTGCAGAAGCTGCATCTTCAATTCTTTTTTTTCTTTTTAAGACAGAGTATCGCTAGGTCGACAGGCTGGAGTGCAGTGGTGCAATCTCAGCTCACGGCCACCTCCACCTCCCAGGTTCAAGTGATTCTCCTGCCTCACCCTCCTGAGTAGCTGGGATTACAGGCATGTGCCACCACGCCCAGCTAATTTTTATGTTTCTAGTAGAGACAGAGTTTTACCATGTTAGCCAGGATGGTCTCTATCTCTTGACCTTGTGATCTGCCTGCCTTGGCCTCCCAAAGTGCTGGGATTACAGGCCTGCGTCACCACGCCTGGCCTGTTTGTAGTATCACAGGTAATAGTTACAGGTAGCCTACTGGCCAACTTGGAAAGATCCAGATTGTTTAATTATGCACTGGCCTCCCCTCCCCACAGCAGACTCCCTCCCACCTCCTGCATCACTGTGTCCCCACGGCAGACTCCACACCGCATGGTGTGGCCGGCTGCACAGGCACCTGGTGACATTCATTCCCGTCAAGTTCCTTTTATGTTTCTGGCCTACTGAAAATAGTCAGTTAAGTCTACGTTTTCATTATGTCGTAGGAAAACTAAGAAAATATATAATCATTTGCTTTTAAACTAAGAATAGGACAAATACAAAAATAAAACTTAGGCTGAGTGCAGTGGCTCACACCTGTAATCCCACTTTGGGAGGCCGAGGCAAGAGGATGGCTTGAGCCCACATGTTTCAAGACCAGTCTGGGAAACACAGGGAAACCCCATCTCTACAAAATAGTAACAAGCTAGCCAGGTGTGGTAGCAGGCACCTGTGGTTGCTGCTACCCAGGAGGATGAGGCTGGAGGATCCCTTGAGAGTGGGAGCTTAAGGCGGCCGTGAGCTGGGATTGTGCCACGTGGCAGAGTGAGACCCTGTCTTTTAAAAAATGTTTAAAAATATATGTTTGTTACGTATTATGGTCTATGTAACAACTATATATTTTTGTGACCAAGATGGGGAGGCAGTAAAGCAATAGGAAGAAAATAAGGGAGAAAAGAAAGCCTTAGACTATAGGAGCACCCCCGAAGAAACCCCCACGGAGCCCCCCAAGCCGAGCAGCAGGTTCTGAGGCATCTCAGATGAGCTGAGGCTCTGGTAGGACTGGGACTGAAATTGCCACATCTTCCTGCTGTAGGTCAGGGAAAATCAGTTCTTGTCACTTACCATTGCCCTTTTAGACTCTAAATAGCATCTTCCATTTTTAGTTTAAAATTTCAAGGTTGGGTTTCAAATAGTCATTTTCACTAAAATAATTGTAAAAGTTTTTTATGAACATTAGTAAGTGGTTTAGGTTTTGGAATCTATATTGAAAGAAAGTAGAGGCTGGTGGCTCGCTGTTCCTGCCAGTAGCTCTCTCATACAGGAGTGTCTGGGGGCCTCTTCTCTTATCTTGGAGACACAGGACTCTGTGGCTGTGGCCCCCTTGCTCTGTCCTGACTGCTCACGTGGAGCCAGTGCTCTTTAGGAGCTGTGATTGTTTTCCCCAATTAATTTAGCTTCTGGGACATTTTGGTCATGATTAAATCGGTATTCAACCTATTCAAATTTATTCTTAGTGGCTTTTGTGTATTTAGCCTTACTAAAAAATTAGCCTGAATCATTTTAAACTGTAATCCCAGTGCCTAATCTTGAAATGTAAGGACTGTTACGTGTATTCCTGTGGACCTGGCCTCCAGTTGATAAATGGCTCCTCCTAGGAAGCTCTCACTCCAGCAGACACACCACAGCCAGAGGGGTGGAGACCAGAGTCAAGAAAAGGCCTCAGCTAGAGACCTCGCTGTGCATAGAACAAGGCAGCGTGTGTGTGTGTGCGTGTGTGTGTGTGTGTGTGTGTACGCACACGCATGTCTGAGTGTGTCTGAGTGTATGTAAGTGTGTGTGGGTTTAAGAGTAAACATTGCTACTAAAGCATTTGGAAGCATAAATCTTTCTTGTCTTCATTTTAATTTCAAGAAATGCCTTGCTTTCCTGCTCTAGGAACTGAAGGGATTATATTTCATTTTACAGAGAAACAAGTCTATTTTAGATATTTAACTCTGAAGCCAAATTTTTGTTCATCAGAGTCTAAAACAGCCTTATTACTATGGAATGCCCCATAGAATTCTATATTCAAATATAGAAATTGCCACGAGCTCTGTATGGGAGAACCCACACAGCTCCAGAGCTCTGCTCTAATTTCATGTATTTATAATGTATTTCTGTTTTCATTCCGTGGGCTTGGGGTTTTCATTTTGCTTTTAGTTTTCTTTTTCCTTGGTTTGGTTTGGGGGTTTTTATTGTGTTTGAGATGGGGTCTTGCTCTGTCACCCAGGCTGGAGTTCAGTGGTCTAGTCATGGCTCACTGCAGCCTCCACCTCCTAGGCTGAAGCAATCCTCCCGCCTCAGCCTCCCAAGTGGCTGGGACTACAGGGGTGTACCACCATGCTTAGCTAACTTTTGTATTTTTTGTAGAGATGGGGTTTCATTATATTACCTAGGCTGGTCTCAGACTCCTAGGCTCAAGTGATTCACCCACATTGCCCTCTCAAAATGCCAGGATTACAGGCATGAGCCACCACAGCTGGCCTGCTTTTAGTTTTTTTAAAGGAAAATTTCAGACTATATAGAAGTAGAAAGAAGAGGCTGACGCCCCTCAGGAGGCTGCCTGTGGCCCCAGCAGCCCTCGCCTCAGTGGTTTTAGGACAACACCAAGAAAGAACTTTCAAGCCACAGGTGGCTGCCCGTTAGGGCGTGCGTGCTCATGATCATTGCTTGTTATTCTTTATAAGAAAACGTATGAGCATAAATGTATAGACTCACCTAGAAGCACCACTGCAGCCTTTTGAAGCTGTGAAGAGTGTGTGTGTGTGTGTGTGTGCGCGCGCATGTGTGTGCACGCGCACGCACACTGGCAGCTGCCTCTATTGCAGGACTTATGCATGCAGGCAGAGATGAGAAATTAGTGCACTTAACGAAAGGTCAAATTGATACCAATGGCAGCCTATCTTGGAGTGGCTGCTGCCATGATGCCAGCTACAGCTGGGGAGGCATAGCCAGGGCCATGTGCTCCATGCAGCTGGCAGGAGCCAGGAACAGGCAGAATCCCCACCCCCTTCCAAGCTGGCAGGGTGGGAGCCTCA